TCTTGAGCACTTTGCGAAGGTTCGAGGTGACGGGGCTGCCGCCTCAGCCCATGTGCGCAGGCCCGCCTGGGGCTCTCCGCACCATACTTCTGAGGGCTTTTGTGTTGCACCCTGGGAGTACACGCGCTGGGTATTGACGTTCAAAATCACCTTACGTTGGGAGATGCCCCTGGGAATGGTTCAAAATAACACGGTTTCTATCCGGAAAGGTGCCTACATGGGGTCAATACCCAGTGGGTGTATTCCCAGGGTGTAATACAAAAAACCCTCAGAATACTGTGGATGGGCGGAATCCATTTCGCACCACCTAAGAAAACACCCGAAAAGAGGCTTCTCCTGTAAATGCCAAGAAACCATGGCTTCCCATGGTTTCAAAGTGGTGCAAAATGTCGTCCATCCACAGTAACACATGAAAACCAGCCCAAAGGTGTATAGGTGAATTCCCCTATAAGGCTAGCTTTGTGGTCCTGAGTAGAATGTGCTAGCGCATGTTTCCCCATGGCACATGATCTTACCCCGGAAAATGGATCTCTGCCCTAAGGTTCGAGATTAACCCCACACCCCGAGATCACCCGTGCTTGTTTCGGGGTGTCAGGACATATTTTTGAAGCCCCAAATTCCATCGAGACCCTGGCATTTCTTATTTGGAACAGCTTGGGGTTTGTTGACACTTCGCTCCCACCCCACCCTTTCCGGCAGACAAGCCCAGCACTTTCAATTTTTGGGGGAACCCACCAAACCTGCCACAAAAGCAGGTGACAATTCCCATCCCAATGGCATTCAAGGATACAAGGGGTGGAACCCACTGAACAACCAGAAGGTCGTTCCTTGCAACCATGTCGCTTGTACGGTTCACCATGTGTAGCGTTCCAAAAAGGCGCAACAGGCGCAAGGTACATAACTAATGCACACCTCTGGTTCTGTATATGCATACCTGTCCGATCGCCACAGTGCCCTGTCGTTTTGCTGGTAAACATCCGGGACGAGAAAGAACCACCCTCAAAAAAGCTGGAACTATCCCAGCCATCAAACTTCGGGGTTGCGATCTCCCCTTTGCCAGGGTACCTTGATCTTCCAGGCCCCTGAAACAGCAAAATCCACAAGCACCTGTTGTTTTGCGGGTCGTGGGATGTTGGTTACTGCAACCCAAACTGATGGTTGGCGATTCATTTCCCCGATTTTAAGGGTGGCTTGATGCCCGGTCCAGGTCGTTTCTTGGGTGCCTTCAAACGCCAAGCGAGCCGGGGGTTGAATCCGATCGGACATGGGGGGGACCTGGCCCCAAGCCGGTTGCTTTGAGCCTTTTTTGGGGGGGTCACTGGTTTTGCCTTGACCAAATTGGCCTCTTCTTTTGTTGCCTTCTTCTTTTGGGGGGGGCATGTCACGGCTTGACTTCAGAGGCCTTCAGATCTAGGGCCCAGGGAAGCGCCGAGCCGCGCGCTTGGAAAGCCGCCAAAAAGACGAGACCACGGGTGTCCTTTTTGGGAGAAGGAGAAGGCCCTGATAGATGATGAAACCAGCAGGTCAACCAGAAATCGCCATCTATTCTCCTACCAAAACGACCATGACATGGTAAGTGGGAAATAACCATGGTCAGAACCCACTTTTGCCATGGTTATATGTCTCCTATGCAAGAGACCTGCCACCTCGAAGAAGGTTCAAAAAGCGACGAGATGCCCACGGCTTTGGCGCGCTCCAGGTTGCTCAGCATGCCGTCCAGTGCCAGGCCATAGACCTTGCCTCCGGAAACTCAAAGAGTTGACATGGACCCATACTGGCTTGCTGTTAACCCCCTCCAAGAAGATTGACTTTTTGGTGGGTTTAGTGGAAAACACCTTTATTTCCCAAAAAGTTAAAGTCTAAAGATCCAACCCAATAGCAGTCAAGGATATTGCCAGAAATTCAAAGGTCGAACCTCCTCAGTTCCTCAGTGGATTTTATGCAAAAAAAGGTCCGAACCTTTTTTTACCACAAAAATGGTCCAGCCCCAAAAAGTTTCTGAAGTCCATGAACTCAGGAAGAGAGCCTCTTGGCTTGGTTGGCGTTGACCCCTCTGCAAAAAGCGTTCAACTTATGCAACAAGAACCTGATTTCAACCAACAGGTCAAAGGTTCAAGATCCGAACCAATAGCAATCAAGTTGCAAGTTCTCTGGAAAATCAAATTCTTTCCAAACCCTCGGTCTCTCCGCGGCGATTCAGTCACCAAGAGGACACGCTGCCCCCATGGCATACTGCAAGTAAGGGCTCCGGGAAACATATTTGTCGATTTTCTTCTTCGCATGGTTGGCATGGGGGTTGGTTTTTGGGTAAATCGATGGGTCTGGTAGATGATTAAACCACCAGGTAAGCCAGGAATCGAAACCCATCGATTCTTCTACCAAAACCACCATAAAAAGGACAGCGTATGATGGTTGGCTGCCATATTTTTCAGGTATCCGTCGTATGCTGCGTGCCACTTTGTACATACCCTGCGTCTGGGGCGGCCTCGTGGGTAAACATACTGAATAGCCTTGAGCAGCTTTTCAAGCTGACACCGGACATCCATGTCCCCGCAAGTTGAGCGGATGTTCACCCAGCAAGTGGGACATGTTGCTGGACGCTGAATTGGGCACCGCTGCCAATGGCTTTTGGGGGCTGGAAAAGGCTTGAAGCTACCTGGTCGAATTGGGCAACTCAGCTTGGCCCAAGGAAGTAGGAGCCTCACCCTCACCCACACCTTTGGCCAAGGCCGAGGGGAAGGACCCCTCCACATACCCGCCTTGCCCCATGGGCTCGTTTAGGCATACCATACATTTTCCCGGGTAAGTTACCATTTTGGTTAAGAGGCTAGCATCAGATCCGGTCATACTCTGAAACATGTGGGTATTGGGTGGTCAAGGAACCCGAAGGCTTACCTGGCGAAACGACGAAGGGAAGCGCTGGCCCGGTAACTGCATCCCAAAAAGCGTCAGCCTCCCCCCCCATCAACACCGCTGAAAAAAAAACATCCACTCCGGGGACCCAGCATCCGCGCCTCTATTCAAGGAGCCGCCTAAGGTGCCATCTGCGGTCTGGTACACGGAGAGGGTCACATTCAGCAGCAGTGGGTTCCTGGGCGCGTTGGGCCCGAAAAGGATGCTGTCTCACTTCCTGAATTCATGGACTGGACTTGGTACTTTTTCAGAAGACCAGTTTAGTGGCATACAAGCAGTTTAGGCTGCTTTTCCCTTCCACGCGGGACTTGAGTTGTTGAATCAACATGGATTGCGTGTGGAAAACGAGGTCCCTGAAGCTGTTTTAGGGACACCGGTTGTTTCAACATGCCGTTGGTGTTGAGGCCCAATCTCCGGCAAACCCACCAGACAGACGGCATGCCTCGAGCCTCAAGAAAACAATATACCCCATGCACAGGAACCGTCCCCCGGGCAGAAAACAACATATCCTAGGTCCTCCAGCCGAGAGGTTAGAATAAGGGTACCCGATGTTTTTGCAGTATAGTTTAGCAAGGGAACCGAACCAAAAAAAAGGTAAAAGGGCACTACCGCAAAACCTGGTATCTTAGAGCTCAGAAAAAAAGAAAAAGAAAAGAAAACATACGTATTTTTTCGGAATCCAAGCTCCAGGGGCTGAGTTACGGCTGTTTCTACCCCCGACTCCAAGTAACCCCTCTTTCGTCACGAGGGTCTTGACTGACCGATAAAAGGTGATCGCCTGTCCTAAATATTGAGATAAGGGAAGCCAACAGTAATTTCATGGTCGATTCAGTTTGGTTTGCAAGTGCAAGGCTGGGGGCCCTAATTTGACCAGAGGTTGTACTGGGGGATTGGGGGCTCTGCCCTGGCTCGAGGACCAAAGAAGCAGGAAATCAAGAGATTGACGTTGGGACTTGACAACCATGGATCTCCAAAAAATTGGAAACCAACAGGTCTCAGGTCCGTTTTGGTGTTGTGTTGTTTTTCCCCGGGGGTGAGGACCCCTCTGCAAAAGGTTTAGCTTTTTGTGGGTTTAATGGAAAACCATTTGAATCCCAAAAAGTTAAAGTCTAAAGATCCAACCCAATAGCAAGCAAGATTTAGTAGGTGATCCTGAGATATCGTTTCCACCGGTTCCAACTCTCTTGTACCCGCCTCGTCATGGCACAAAGCGCCGGGTTCAGCGTGAGCTGGTTGCAGAAGGCCTGAACCGCCTGGGGATATTGCCCCAACACCTTGTGGCGCATTCCCTTGAGGGCTAGAACACCTTGACTGACTTCCCAAAGCGAATCGACAGATCGAAATTCGACCTTTTCGCCAAACCGCTTTTGGGGACATGTGTAGTTATGGCCCCTTTTTGGTGAACGCCTTTTAGTCGTGGGTCGCCAAAGGGGCTGTCGGAAGACGTTTGCCAAATGGAGCCCTGTCAAGTTGGTAAACGCTACTTCGCTTGGGTGTCTCGTCTTGAGAAAAACGAAACGGACCCCGAAAGTGTCAACCTGTAGTTGTCTTTTCTTGCTCATGTGGTTTTAGTCTAGGGTTCCATGTTGTTTGAAGCATCCGTTTTGGCCAATTGACACTGGGTTGCTCTGGGTAGGAGTGATGTTTGATTGACATTGGGTAACGGATCTTTAGACTTGAACTTAAGTTGGTTGAACTCAAGTTGGTTCTTCATTGAACCCACCACAAGGTCGAAAGCTTTTTGCAGAGGGGCCCTTTTGCAACCAAGCTTCTGAGTTTGGAACATCTTGGGAGCTGAGCATTTGGCGAGGCTCGGTTCGGTTTTTTTTCAGGGTAGTTTTCGGGTCCAGGTATATGTCTCCCATCTTTGCCTTCAGTGGAAAAGCATCGCGTCATGTCTCACGACCACATAGCACGCCTCTGACGAGCGGTTTTCCCGTGGCTTGTAACCCTGGAAGCGAGAAAGGCAGGGCACCAGGGCTCCATAAGTTCCATCACTTCCGATCGAGTGGATTGGGCCACAAGTAACCCACCAAACAGTGGTTTTTTGCGTGTGCTGTGTCAAGCCACCTGTACCCTCAAACTAA